TTTTCCCCCCTTTTCTTCTCTTCCTCTCAATCTAGTGAACAACTCATCTCTTCTGAGTCCTTGTTGCGGTCTACATCTAATCTCCACCAAGTCTTCCCCCCTTTCCGCAAACAACCACCATGCGTTTGCGAATCCAAAATCATCTTCACCAACAAACTGACTAAAGGGGTTCGCACATGGAAGACGACCTCAACCGCCAAAAGCTATGGAGGTTTTAAGATTTTGGGGTTATGTATCTGATACTAATATTGTTATTTTGTTTTGTTGTTTGATTCTGTTGTATCTGATGTGCTTGTGTTTGTTCTATTTAAGTTTGTTCTCATGGTGTTTGTTGAAATGCCCCAAAGATGTTTGGATGTGGATAAATGGCTTATGAGTGAGAACCTAAACGAAGTTGCTTCAATTCTGGTTTTCTTTTCCACTCAACAAAGGTTCCCTTCACATATTATGAGTCTATTCAACTTTGAGAACATGTATAGTCGAACTGAGCATTCCTTAGTCAAAGATATGATCTATAACTGAATACTATTGATGTCCAAGTCTTAGTTGATTTATTTATATATGTTGTTGTTAAATTGTGGATGGAAATATCCTAACACAATCTTTTTCATTATAACGGTACTCTCTCTTTGAATTTATTGAATGATTTTTTTACTGTAAAAAAATATTTTTGTGATATCCACTTCGCAATGATTCCAAGTGTCATCTCTAACAATTGGGATAATGAACTAATAATACAAACGGCTCAGTTCAATATTTTAAAAATTTTATTATAGTTCAATTTAGTTTGATTTTCTGAAAAGTTTCAAACCAGAGATAATAGAAAAACTCAAAAATATTTGAATAAAATGATTTGATTCTTTCAACCTAACTTGATATTTTGGACTCAAACAAGAATTAAAAAAACAGATTAAATATCAAACAAGATCCGATATGATACATGTCTCCTAAAAATAACAGCGACACTTGTAATTCCATTTAAAACTTTTTTTAAATTAGTATCGGTGTTGACGTGTCAATGTAACGTGTCAATGTCGTGTTTGCTAATAAACAAATTTTTATTGAAACTTAGAAGTTTATGAATTGGGTTCCACACCTCTTGGCAGCTTGTGGATCCATATTTAGGCCTGTTTTGGGGCCAGAACACCAGCAAATCTAGAAGGGGAAAAAAACCAAGTAGCCCTAAGGCATTTTACAATAAGATCAGATGGGATGAAGAAATTTGCCATGCAAATATGCAATGCTCAATCACATTCTTAAAAAAGTATTATTATTGTCCCGAAGAGAATTGAGATCCTGAAACACAATAGCAACTAGTCTAAAGCTGAAAATTCCTCCCATCATAACACAATCAATAGAAAAGAAAAAAAGGAATTGACCTAGCGCTCTATCTGTATAGTCACATGACTGATGTTATAAACCCTTTTGATGTAGTCTACAACCTTGTCCAACACCACGTCAGCGTCGGCATCCCGGTTGATCTTAACATGACATGCTAATAAAATCTTCCCAACTGTAATGGCCCAAATGTGCAGCTCATGAACAGCCACTACTTCTTCAATATCTAATATCCCCCTTTCAAGCTGAGTAGCATCGATCTCTCGAGGCGTGCTTTCCATTAGAACTTCCAAAATGTTTCGCAACATGTTGATTGTTGTCCCTAAAACAATTACTGAAAAGATGAGAGTGCAAATTAAATCAACTATTTTCCATTCTGGTTTGTACCATATCACTGCTCCTCCAATCATTACTCCGATACTTTGGATGGAGTCACCGAGTACATGGAGATAAGCACCTTGCACGTTTATGTTTCGCTTCTTCTTGGACTTGTCTTTTGATTCGGCAAGAAGCGGCTCAGTAACACCTCCGTCGGTGTGATGGTGAATGTGGTCTTCGTGAGTATGATTGTGTTGATCTTCTGAATGATTTTCTTCGTCATGGTGAGTGTGGTTGCCGTGAGTATGATGATGGTGCTCATCTTTTGTAAGATCATGAGTAGAAACTGTAATCCCCGTGACTGTGGCCATGATGACTGTGTCCGTGGTCATGGCCATGACCGTGACCGTGACCGTGACCGTGATCGTGACCTAATAACACAGCCATGATTATGTTAACCACAAGACCAAATGCAGCGACTAGAAACATTATGAACCCGTCCCACATTTTTAGAACCAGTAATGAGTCTATCTATGGCTTCGTATACAATAATCCCGGCAAGCAGCCATATCAATTGGATAGAAACCAAAGCACCGAGAATCTCTATTCTATAAAACCCGTACGATTGACGAGGAGTAGCCTCCCACCCGGCAGCCCATAAAGAAAACAAGGAGATGGCAAAGGCTGCAACATCAGAGAGAAGATGTGCTGCATCAGTCAATATTGCAAGACTGTTAGCTTTGATACCACCAACTAGTTCAACGGTCATGAAAATAACACAGAGGATCACTGCTATCAAAAGCTTTCGCATGGAAGTTGAACGTTCTTTGGAATCCAGAGTGATGGATCCAGCATCTAAGAATCCACATGGTGCTTCCCCACAAATCTTCCTTCCTGGATCATTAAGATCTACACTGATTTCAATTATTTGACTGTGCTCCGAGTTGTGTGCATCCATCTGCAATATATTAAAAACGATTGTTTCTTGAGTTTGATATAAGCCAGAATGCAGAAGTATACAGTACTCAACATTAAACAGAAACAAGAAATTATTACATCAGCTATCAAAAACATGCTACATATTACTTGTCCCACAAATTTCCCATTTCATATAACTTGTCCAATTCAATAAACAACTTATATTTTCACCATTTGATGGTCATATCAAACTCTAACAAATGGTTACGCGTTTGCGTATGCGTACAGAGATCAAATGATGAAAATTTGAGCCATTTATAAATAGCTATCCAAATGGGCCCAACACTATTGAGATCTAAGGTGAACTCTAAATCAGGCCCTGACAAAAAAACCGAGGTCTTTTTAATGCCAATAATCAGCACAAAACAGAAACTTAAGGCAAAGCAATAGGCACGCACACGGCACAATACAATCACAGAAAATCAGAGATGACGGAGACGACAACACAGTAGGTACGGTGCATATGACAGCAGTTATTTAACTCAACTATCTACGAAGCACCGAAACTGTTGTAAGTTTCTGACATTTATGAGCACAAACATGCTTCCGACATCAAAACCTCTTCAACATCGATATGAAACAAAGTAGCCAAATCATTCATTCAGTTTCAGTGCATAGTAATAAAACAAAACAACCACAAACAACATCAACAAGGTCAATCTACATTGAATCATATTCAAAGTAAAAACCAAACCAAATACAGCAGATCAAACAAAGGATGCACAAATCTAAAACACATAGCCTTACACAAAGAAAATCCAGCACCCTTTTACAAGATATAAAATATTCATACAAAGAGAGGGAAAAAATACAAACTTTAATTATTCGAATCCTTGAAACACATAAGAAAATTGCATAATCAAGTAACAATTAGCAGAGAGCAAGATAAAAATAGGTGGTGAATATCATTAATTAACACAAGTACAATGAACCAATTGATATATAGACAATAATACAAACATCTAAACTACACAAATAAACTACATTCATTCACACCAAGTTTCAACACCTAATACAATAGAATAGAATCTTCCAGGACCTTAACAAAGAAAAACCAAAAAGCTACAACAGCAAAAAGAACATAAAGAATTCAAAACCAAAACCTAAAGAAACACTAACAGCCACAAAGACTGACTCAGCACACATGCAACTTCAACACAGCCTCATAATCAAAATCATTAAGACAAAACAACAAAACAACAAAACAACAAAACGTTAAAAAAACAAAATAAACAATATCATCAAACTAGGTGAAATTGAAAATGGGTATTCAAGATTACAGCAAAACTGATATCATTAGCTTGGTTTTGCAATTGGGTATCCAAATTCACGATCAAAAAACGATTTTTGAGCATAAAAATTCTTTTTTTTTTATAGTAGAAGTATAAAGAACGTAATGAAAAAGCGGAAAAAAAATGGAATAAGCAAAAAGAATGTGACGTACTTTCAAAGGAGTGTGGTCCTTTGTTCGGTTCTGATTCTGAATCCTCTCTGGTTGAGTTTAGGTTTATTCTAAGCGGCTAGTTTTTTTTTCTCTCATATATATTGACAAATATTTGAGAATAAATCATTGCAAATTTGGATTCTCTTCAAATATTTTTTTTTCAATCTTGTTCGAAATTAAATCTTAATTATTGAATTAAAAAATAGATTATTTTATAGGTTTTAGATATTTTTTAGATATTGAAAAAAACAACAAACTTTTAATCAATTAGTAAATTTAATTGTTTTTAGAGAAAAAATATATTTTTGAGTATAAATTAGTGTATTTAATTATTGAAAGTATTTTTGAAGAAAAGATATATTATTTCATATATTTTATATATTGAAAAAAATCAAGTTTTAATCAATTAGATTCTATATAAATATATTTTCCTCTTTCTAAATATATTTCTTTTTATCATGTCCATTTTTATTATTTCACTATTGAATTAAATAAATGGTTAAGATTTGTGAGATGGAGATAGATTGAAAGAAATATAGATTTTGATGATGATGTGTCATAACAAATATAATGGGTAGAAAAGAATAAACTAAATTGATATAAGTGGAATTCTGATGTATAATAAATAAAAAAGGAATAAACCAAACTGTCTCATTAAAAATGAAAAATCAGATTGTTTATTTAAAGCTTACAAAAAAAATGGTTTATTTAACTTTTTTTTTTCTTTTTAATTTTTTTAGTTTGACTCTGTTTTTCTCTTTTAAGTATTTTTTTTAATTAAAAACGGAAAAAATAAACAGAGACATAGATTAAGACATAAATTCTTTGGATTGAAATTTATTTTATTTTTTAATTGTTATTCTTTCTGTTTTTTACTATACGTTATTTTTCCATTTTCATGATCATTGAAAAATATAATTAAATTTTTATCATAAATACAAATTATAAATTATTTAATACAATTGCTTTTTTTAATTAATGATATAGAAAAGATTATAAAAAATCTTAATTCTAAATGCTTTTAATGAGAAAATATATTATGATAATATTTTAAAGGAGAAAATATATTAGGATAATATTTTAAAGGCAAAAATATATTAGATGTCTTTTAAGTTATTTATTTATAATACAAAAAAATATAAATTTTTTTATAATAATTTAATCATTTAAGTTATCTTATATTTGCATCATTGTCTTGTTTTAATAGAGAAAATATGTTAATTATAGATATAATTATTTTAAATAGTATGAGAATGATAAAGTGTAATTAAAAATATAAAAATTAATATTTCTAAATATTCAAAATATAAGAATAAAAAAAAAAGTAAAAATCACTCTATAGGACTAAATTGATAAAATAACTTAAAGAACCTGTATAATTTTACCTATTTTAAATTGATAATTATTTTTTTGATATAAAAAGTGCAATTCAAAGTTGTTTACTAGCATAAAAAAGTTATTAAATATTATTAAAAAATAGGTTTTCTATTAGAAATTATTTTTTCCTTATTTATTTTTTCATTTTCCTTATGTAAATACACTGTTTAGAGAAATAAGTTAAAAAATCAAAGTTGAGTCATTCAGATATTTTTTCAATAAGGAAAAATTATTGAATAAAAAAGAAAAAAAAAAGGGACATAAAATCTAACTAATCAAATAGTTAACAAAAATAATAATTGAACATATTCAATATATTTCTCAAAAAAATTCAAAAGTGAATCTCATCGGGTGGCATAATCAATAGAAAAAATAAATATTTGTTAATCTATCTGTTTATATATGTTTTTCTCTAAAAATGTGAAAATGTTAGATATAATGTGTAAAGTATTTTTATAAGGGAAAATATTAAAATTAAAAAAATACATGAATGACCAACATTGATTCAATTTCAAGTCAAAAAAATTTCTAATTCTTTATGTTAGCATATTCGATATCCATCATAATTTCATGCAGTTGAGCTTTAAATAAGGTGTAAACTCTAATCTTAGTTGAGAAAACTCCTAAAAATATTTAAATTATCCCTAAATATGTCACCAGAAGTTGATATTCCAAGATTTCCTCTTGAAACTCCACGTGTATTGCATTTAACCCAATTATGACTTGGAAAACACCACTTAACTTGTATGATTCTAGGAGCGGGGGGAGGTTGAACTTGACAACTTAAATTCTGAATTTGACAACTTCAACTTCTATCAGCGAGTTTGAATAATTTTTTCATAACTAGTTATATCAATATTCCTGTCAAACATTTGTTCCATCAATGCAAAAAAATTAAGGTGTACCTTGTAGAACCTTGTTTTGCAGGTGATATGCTTTTAAACAAGGACAACAACTTTTGACGATAACAACTATTGTCTTTTGACAAGTCAAACATAAGTGATTAAACAAATAAAGATGCAGACCTAAGTATTAGGACTTAATGGACTTGAATATCCAATGATGACAATCAAATGGAATATAAACTTAAGCCTCGTCTCAAGTAAACTCAAGGAAGTGTCTACAAAAAAAAGTATCCAACAAAATCTTGAAGTACAAGAAATATCTTCCTTGATTTGTCTGAGTGAAAATTTTATAAAGCACAAGGATGTTCTCGTAAAAGTGCATGGCTAAAACCCTCACACAAAAAAAAAACATCTTTTTAAATCGATTTTTCTCTAGAAAATATTTTCAAAAATGTGTTGAAGTTGGGCCAGACGAGTTGGAAGTTGTCACAATAGCTCTGAATAAAGTTTTGTCTTGTCCAATCGATTGGGACATTAATTTAATTGATTGGCTCAATTTAAAATCGAGTCCTAAGAGATTACGATGGCATCTTAATGAAGTACAATGGCTAGATATTTATTGTTTCTTTTTTTGAACTTATAATTGATTAGTTTTGAAGTATCTAATTGATTGACATTAGGTGTTAATTGATTAGCTTGTCTTAAAAAGCATTAAAATCAATTTTCTTTATGATTCAATCTCTAGCCTATAAATAGATCCCCCTTCCCTCATTTTAAATCACCCAGAAATCGTGTTTTGACACTTCTCACTCTCTCTCTCTCTCTCTCTCTCTCTCTCTCTCTCTCTCTCTCTCTCTCTCTCTCTCTCTCTCTCTCTCTCTCTCTCTCTCTCTCTCTCTCTCTCTCTCTCTAAACTTTTTTCTTACTTTTTTTCACTAATATTTTAGCCGAAGTGCTTCTTCGATAAAGTTATTTTGTGAGTGAGATTAGTTGTAATTCTAGAAGGGTAGAAATGTAAAATTCACCAAGGGAATTTTTGTTACACCTTGGTTGAATATTATCCATTTAGGGATCTTTTAACCCGTAAAATTTTTTGATTTGGGGATTATGTGATCAAGCCCTTGTTTAAGTTCAAGATTAGCTTGTATTAAAATATCTTTGGTTCTTGGTTAGCCCGGGATAAAACCAAGGTTAGTTTATGTGAGTGCACTTGCTTGATAGATATTTTGTATGATGCTAAAACTAGGATAACCTTAACATTTTTGTATATTAGATAGTATCTCTGAGTCATTATGTGCACCTTTGAATTAAGGT